GCACTGCAGGGTTGTGCCTGTACCCCCAGGACACGGCAGCTCACCAGCCAAGCAGTCACATCAGTTCTCCTGGGCTCCTGGGAATGTACTGGCCATCCTGGGAGATGGACCCTCCTTTCAGAAACTGCCTTAAAAAGCAGCAGTGGGCTAGGGGCAGGGAAAGCAGCCAAAAGATGTAATGCTGCACCAAAATCCTCCAGGCTCCTGCCGCAAGCAGGGGAGCAGCGGGGAGCTGCTCCTGTGAAACAAAAGCTGGTGAGTGTGGCCAGAGGCCAGGAAGTGCAGCCCCCATCTTGTCTGGGTGTCAGGGCAGCAGCGGGAGATCTGGCATAGCTGCAAGGCCTGCATCCAGGGAGGGGCAACATAAACCAGGGCTAGATCTAAGTCCGCAGGGATGCTCTCCCCTCCCCCTCCTCCTCTGGCCTTTTTTTGTGCATGTGTGCCAATTACTGATTAATTGCCATCCCCAAGAGACCGCATTATGATAGTTTGACCTGGGCTAAGACCTCTCATCTATCTTTGCTTTGTAAAGAATTGGGGCATAACAACATCGTGTGGCCAGAGGGCTTCATGCTGCCCTCCTTCACCCCAGGCTTTGCTGTCTTTGAAAAATCATTAACTTGCTCTCAGCTCCATGAGCCACTCTAGGCATGAGAGCCAGAAGGCCAAAGAGCACTGCACAGGATGTGTACAGCCCTCCAGAGGTCAAAGCAGCTACCACATGGTAGCTGGTCTCTCCATCAACTGCCAGACCTGCATCAGCTGCGTTACAGCTGCTGGGGTGCTCCTGTGGCCCCTCACCTCCTGTATCACTGACATACAGGGGCCATAGCCTCTTCCCTGGCACTAGTCCCAGCAAAGTCCTACAGCTTTCTCCCAAAGGTGTTTTCCCCTGTTATTCTGAAGTCCCTCTGTCTGACCAGCACCTTGACACTTCAGGATTCAAGCAATAAATGAAAAAAAAAGTGTATGTGACCTTGTCTATCACATGATGTTAACCCATTCTTTGCAAGGAGTGAGTGGCAGAACCTGTATCTCCTCAGCAGGTCTTATCCCTTGTCTGGGAGACAAAGAGCTTTGCCTTCTTTACTCCCCACCTCATCATGGAGGTGATAAAACACCAGTGTGATGTCTGAGCCAAAATTCCACACAGGTCCGAGTTTTTGTTCCTCCCAGATCCCTTGGTGCATCCTGCACAGCTCTCCACATCCAAAGGATGGAGTAAAAGGGACACTGCAGTCAATGTACTGCCTGATCCCCAGTGTGCAGGTGAGAGAGAAGGTTGAGGCTCTCCCTGTCTGATCCTGAATCCCAGGATACAGCCTACCTGGCCTGTTTGTGTTTCACCCTAAGAATTTCAGTCTCAAGCTCACTATAAACTGGCCCAAATCTCCCCCAGCCCCTCCCCAGTCTGCCCAGTGCTCTTTGAGGAGGTCAGCCCAGCACAGAGCTGCCACCCAAAACCAGGGGTGCTAAAGAGCACACGCATTTAAATATTATTTAACATGTGGTTTGCATGCTGTCTAGTCTTTGCTTGAAGGAGCAGTATATAGGAAGAGAATCAACGAGTCATATTTTTTTAAAGTCCTTGAAGCACTGTAAACCCAACTGCTCAAAGATAAACCAAATCCCCGATGAAAGGAAGAGCCATGTGTCGTTGCCACAGGTAAGCAGCCAGGCATCTGCTTTAACAAGAAGTGTTTAAAGGCCCCCAGTGAGCACACCCTTGCTCAAGTTCCTATCAAAAGCAATTTCAATCTCAGGAGGATTTTTTTTCCCTGAGAAATTTGCCAGCCATATGGTGCAAGTCTCAAAAATTAATGTCTGAAACATTTATTTTTAATAGGTAAATATCTTCCTTCTGTCTCCTTTATTCAGGCTTCCTTTGCAGGACCAGAACAAAATGATGATAATATTTTTTTTAAATAGAGAATAGGCCTTGCTGTCTTGGTCCCTTGAATTTGTGGAAGTTTTTCCTTGAGAAGTCTCCCCAGAAGGGGAAGCGGCCGTGCTTGTCCCATCCCATGGGGCAGCTTGAGGAAGCACTGCTCTTCACTGCCTTGTATGCAGCACAGGGCTGATGCCAAACTTCCCTGCTGAAGTGGGGGGAAAGTCCCTCAGAAATTGCATTTATCCAGTAATATACATATGTTGCTTATGTCCAGCTCCTCTTACAAAGTTCAGTGTGTTTTTCCGTTCTGCTGGCTGTATTGCAGCACCTTTGGAAAATAAGCTTCAACACTTCAGTGGTCTTGTTGTTCTCTAAGTTGTCTGCAATCATCTTTGCAAGCTGGAAGTGAAACTGTATTTTCTATGTCTCCTTTTATCTCATGGAAGCCAATAATGCAGACGTGTGTGTGCCTGGATGGGTGTGGTTGTTTTAAATGTGTCGCCTCTTTGGTTGCTATATACTCAGCGGCTGAGCTAGAAAACCAGCACTGCAGCTGTGTGTCGTGTGTTGCCCCCCCCCCCCTTTCTCCTCTAACCTGGCTCTGCCACTTTAGTGCTCAAATATCCTCCCAACAGGGGACTGAAAGCAACTGCGGGAAGGTGCTCCACATTCAACCTGATGTACTCAATCTGGGCTGCAAAAGTGTCTGAATAACGTACCGCAATTGGATTGTCACCTGCAGTGGTTAGATGTGCACTGGCATATGTAAGCAAGTGGATGCATCCTACTTTGGGAAAGATTTTAAAATAGGCAGCTTAGGCAGTCCTCTCGATTTCTCTCAACATGAGGATTTTCTGCTCTACTGGTTTATTTTTGAACACACAGACTGCAGAAAAGGGAATTTTGTTGATAGAGACATGCAGTCTCATTTGTGAAAGTAACTTTTCAGAAGTACGAGAGAACATTGTGCTGTTACACTTAAATCATACACGTTTTGCTGACTTGGAAGTTGGTACTGCATTTCAAAGACTAACTTGCTAAGCTTGATTGATGTCCTTTATCTTTTGATGTTTAAGAAGCTTTCCTTTCCAAAGTCTCCCTTTCTTTCAAGGCACTTCAATGGAAGTCATCTCTTGCCCACCTTCAGAACTGCACTTAGCATCCTTCTGTTCTCCCTGATGTATTCTCTTGACTAGAAGCAGATCATAAATTTGCCCTAATTTATGATCTGGTGTTTTTCCTTTTCTTTCAATTCTGCCATTTTCTGAGACATTTATTTCACTCTAAAGTAACTATATAAAGAATCTACTGGGTTATGTTCATCCCTCTGAAGTAAACTATGGTGGTCTACCACTGCAATAAGGACATTAAAAGTATCAGCTGGAAGCAGAATCAACTGATTTTTTTTTTTTTTTTTCTCTTAAACTGCTACTACTTACTTGTTCAAATGCAAAAAAGTGTGTTTAAAAATAAAGTGAAAGGTCAAACTCTGACCTTGTCTTCTGTGGGAACTGCACTGCTGTGGTGCTTAAGATCATGTTCTAGATATAATTCCACAATAGGAAAAAGAGCATTTTTGTTTTGGCTTTGAGGGGAGGGGGCAGCAATAGCTACAGGGTAAAAGACCCAGTTATGTCTTGTTTGGAGGCTTTAAAACAAACCATATCACCAGTGACAGTTCTGGGGCTTGTGTATCACTTCATTTTTGTATTTCTTTTCTTCTAGCTTTTTGTCACCAAAGGTGCTTGCAGGAAAAGAGGATTATTATTAACTTAAAGAGGTCATCTGCTCCTCATTCGTCTCTCTCTCTCCTCGAGTCATTATTTTCTGTTTGTGACATCAAAATTGTTGCTGTGGAAGTGTTTATCATCTCAAAAATAGAAGAACATTACGTCATTCAGGAAAATAACAGCAGGAGCTGAGGAACTTTTAAAGATGCTCTGATTTTTATTTTTTATTTTCTTAAATTCTGATTTGAACTGTGTTTCCCTGAATAAATTAATTTGGCAGGCAATAGGCCTCCTACCTATCATGTCCCTTGCTAGCATGTATAACTTCCTAGAACTTTCATGTTTCAATATGAGATGATCAGCAATGGCTCAAGATTTAAACTTCCAAATAAGGGTTAATCATGAAAATATAACTAGGTTCTCAGTCACAGATTTGCTGGCAACATCCTCTGTTGATTGTGACCCCTGCCAAGTTGGGATAAAGATTTATTAATTCCATTCTGCTGATGGTCCTCTGGAGCACCTAGGGCACATCATGTCTTCTCTTGATGCTCAGCTTAGCTGTGGGGAATAGGAAAGGTTTGGACAAGATGCCATGCTTGGTGTTTCTCCTCCTTCTGGAGGTCAGAAATTGGCTACAGCAGGACAGGAAAAGGTGGACAAGAGGAAAAGCTGATCTGTGTAGAACTGAGCAACCTTGTGAGTGTTGGGGTCATCTCGCTGGTCCTCAGACTCAGAACTGAGATGATCTCCAGGTTAGTAATGAGAGTCAAATCAAGAGTTAATGGGAATTTTGCCTCCTGAGGTAACACAGGGTGCAGTCCACCCTGGAAGATCACCTGGGCTTTTCCCTCTGACAGACTTCTTACTCTGTCATGGTCCTAGGACATTATGACCCTTTTTGCTACATTTCTCTGGTCCTTTGAGGTAGTTGTTGTGTGCTTTATTTCTGTATCAAAGAATTAAGTTTGTCATGGATTAATGAAGTGTTTTGCAGCAAAGCAAAGAAGGGGTGTGGATCCTTCCATTATATGGTTGCCTATGACTGCCAAAGATTGGATTTAATAACTCAACAGGCTTCTTTCAGTTGCATTACTGATACTAGTTGTTCAGGCTGAGCTCACAGGAGAATCTGGGCTATTGTCCTGACCATGCTTTACCTGCATTCAGGCTTGGGTTGGAAGCAGGATTCTTGTAATGAGCTCTGAAAGTCATGAGTTAACCAGAGGAAGGAGCTTAGGGGAGCAGTCTACTGCTTGAAGTCCACAGCCCTCATTGATTTGAAGCCTTTTGACTTGAATCCCATACTCTTCTTCTGAACTTGCTTTTTTAGAGAAAGGCTTTCTCATTTGCCATGCATCAATGGAGTCTCCTTGCATATCACAGTCCTAAACTTGCCTGAGGGCTCTGGATGCCTTAATCATGAAACAATAGTTCAAGAACCAAGAGGAAAGACTTTTGACAGACACAGCAATCCTGCAGACCCAGTCCCCTCCTTATTCAGTGTACCAGTTTGCTGCTGAACGTGTTGCAGTATGACTCCTTCACGCCTTTTCTTCTGGGCTTTTGGACGCCTCTGCACGGTGTTCTTATCTCCACCTCCTTGCTCCTGCTCATCTGTTTGTCACGTCTCTTTCATCAAGTGGGATCATGCAGTCTCTCAGACAGTGGACATGTAGAGGCTATGGGTGTAGCATCCTCACCCCACAGACATTTAATGAATCTGCATGGCTGCATTACCATCCCAGCCAGGAGGTATTACCCTGGCACGGGAAATGGAGAGCAAATGATCAGGGTAGATGCAGGGGCTGAAGCAAAGGTATCCAAGCAGCTCTTCAAGACATCATCATGGATTCACATGGCCTAAGGGTCTGAATGCAGCATTAACTATGACAGACCAGATGTGCCTACTGCATGGCACCCCCAGTGCCTCTTAGCACCTCAGTGGCTTTTCTGAAGGGGACAACACAGGTGACTCTGGTACAGGCTTCTCAAGCCAGCTCCATGGACAGTCTACAGAAGATGGAATGATCTACACTGGTCCCATGGTAATGAGCCCTGCTTAACTTCTGGAATGAGTTGTTATAAGCAAGGAAGCCACCCCTGCGTACAAAACAAGAGAAGAAAATATGAGGCAAAATGTTGTTACAGCAATTTTAGAGGCCTGCCTTAGAGAAATCTTGGTAGAAAAAGCAGCAACTAAATTCACACAGGATAATGGGAAATAGAAGATCTAGAAAATAACAATTGTTATGTAGAGATAAGGAGATGATGGTGGACGTGATTTAACAATAGGAATTTTATCCTCATCTTTTTATTTAATAAAATAGCTGATTACATTCTCTTTCGTATGAAAAGTAAAACAAACAACTGAGAAGCAGGGAATGATAAATTGTTAGCTGCCTATTTAAAAACACAGGAGCTGCAAAGAGTTATTCCAAAGGCATTTTTTTCATCTTGCTCACTAATTCGTAACTCAAGTGGAATAGCTAATGAATTTGAGACATTCTGAAATGTACAAGCGCATTTTCCAGCATCTCCTGTAATTGATCACTCTACAGGGAGATGATTAATTTATCAAAATTAGAAATTCTTGATAGGGCTGTTTCACAGTTCCTCTACCTTTAGAGAGAAAAACAAAACAACAAATTAAACAAAAGGGAGAATTTCTCCAAAATTATTACTCCCCAGACAAATAAGATTGAACCTATCATGGTAATGGATTTATTTTGGGCTTGGTGAGGAAGTTGGTGAGCTCAAAAGGTAAGCAGCGTACATAGATATCAGTGCCCAGAAACTGTATCAGCTCTCAATCTGGAGCGTTGCTAAATTATCAGTGCCAGGTCTTAACACTTTTTCCTGAACCGTTCAGCAACACCTTGAAGCACCAGCTTAATTTTGAACTTGTTGGCTCACTAATTAACAGCTGAGGTGCAGTTTCACCAAACATGTGGCAGCAGGTATTGGACATCTGACTAGCTGCCCCCTTTGAACGTTGATGTCACCCTCAGGAGGTGCTGGTGGTCATGGTCCCCGCAGCAGCCCCTGCCGGGAGAAGTGACTTTTCTCCTTCCCTACCCCAGCAAAGTGGAAGCCAGTGGGCCTGAGGCTACCGAGGATGACTACAGGGCTCTGCCATTTCACAAGCTCCAGCAGCCACTAGGTGCATATTCACTTACAAAACCTGATATCTTCATGGATGCTTATCTGGAGCTCAGCACGATGGGACCCCAAGTTTGGGGCTTTTGAGTACTCCTACAATGCAAATATTAGATTCATAAAAATAAGAACAGGAAAATAAACTAAACAAAAGCTTGGTTCAAACTCTGTTGAAATCAGTGATTTTTTTCTTTTGGACCCGTTAGGACTTTGATTTGGCTCTTGAGAAAAATTATTCTTTCCCATGAAAAAAACACTAAAAGTATGTTTGTTGTTCCTGTGTTCAAGTATGAGACTCTTCCACACTTTCTCTGCATAATGAGGAATTATAGACTTATTCCTAACCAGTTAACAGCAAGGAGTGAAGAACAGATCCTACACACTAGGTGTTATTGGGGAGATAATGAAACCCAGATGACATTTCAGGAAGAACTTTGAAATCCGTTTTCCTTAGATAAGCTATCATCTGCTCTCTAAGCAAAATTGTTGTGACTATATTTTTTTCCCCTTGGTTTTCATTAACACAACCATTTGCATAAAAAACAAGATTCTTGTTTCTGAAAAGTTCATATTCTCCTGCTGCTTGTTCTCCCCCCTGAAGTTTTCATTCTGTTAGCAACCTGATAAATCACTTCCACTAAACTCAATTATGGTATCACCAACATGGCTTTATCGCTTTGAGTGATAAGGAATAAGCAGCAAGCACAGCCACAAAACCTGCAGGAATACAGATTATGTTTCCATGTCATTTGCTCCATTAACAGCTTGTATGGCATGTTTGAAAGAAAAGAACAAAAAGAAGACATGATAGAAAGAGATTATATTCTTTTTTGTCCCTTAGATGCTTACAGCTGAGGTAATGCATAGATTATGAGCCTTGGATAGGGCCTTCTGAGACCAATGGAGGACTTTCATCAGCTTTGGTGAGTTTCAGATAGAACTATACATTTGGAGTGAAGCAGAGTGCCACTGTGTAATCAACACTGACAAAAATTGAAAATTAAAAAGGGAAGCGAGAAGAGAAGAAAGGCTGCATGCATTTTTGCTGACTTGGATATGAAGGTTCACAGCAGACTCCACTGAAGCCGAAACAGATCTATATCTAAATGAAAATAAGGAAACCACTATATCTGAATGAGATTTTGCTGATCCTGTCTAATTAACCTGGTAAATGTTCAGGTACTTCAGTAATTAAACTTTAACTTTAGAAGCTAAATTGCTTCTGAATATGCTGCTGGGATTTACCTTTGGCATGGAGATCAACAGTGTTCTTGTCTTCTACACTGCAAGAGCCTGGGGCATCATTATGACAGCCAGAATTATAGTTCAAGGCACCACCAGAAAAATTTGAAGACTATAGTCAAGAAGACCTGTAGAAGAAAAAACAATTCAAGAATTTTAACCAGCAAAATTTCATCTAATATTTAAATCATTAAGTGTTATGATCAACATGTGCTGTAAAATAAAATGCACTGTGGGAAAGTTAGTGGACAAAACTATGGTGATAACGACAACTGACTGAGAATGGATAATGTATGGTTAATAATCCCCATCCAAAATATGTTTACATATTTCTAAAATAGAGTCAAATTGTAGCTTGGAAAATATCGATAGTACCTATAAGGCAGAAGAGTCTGTCTCAGGGAGGCTGTGAGAGTGGTTATGAATAAGCTTGTCGACATGACTTTCCAGGGCAATGCTGCATGAGAAGAGGGGCATCAAATAGAAGTAGGCATGTTGCCATGCCTCTATGTAGCACGTGCAAAACTACTTCTGGGGTGAGATGCCCAGTTACGGGGTCCATGCTGCACAGAGGATGCGGAAGTACTGTGGAGAGTCCACGGGAGGACAGTCAGGTGACCCTCCTCAGCCTGGACACCAAGCCTGGACACCAAGCCTTCCCAGGTGTGACTTCAGGTAGACAGGCTGGCTTTCTTACCAAGGAGGAAGCTGGATGGTGACTTATGTTTTTAGGCACAGAAAAATCTATCTGATAAGAGAACAGTGGGGTGGTATGAAGTTGCAGACAAGAGGATAACAAGATCTGGCGAGTAGAAATTGAAGTCAGATGATTTCAACCTTGACACAAGATGTAATTTCCTACTGCTAAAGTTAATGGGATGTTGGAGTGCCTGAACAGGGAAGGAGGTCAGGTCCATTCACAACTACACTAGGCACCTCTGTCAGTTTATGGTAACACATGCTCTTTACAAAATGCTGCTCTCTTAAAATCAACTGCACATAATCTGTACAAAATCATGGAGGGGCCAGGAGGCAAGAGGGTGCAAGCTGCAGGGTATCAGGTGCAGAAGTGAATTTAAGGCAGAGGAGATTCTGGCACAGACACATTCATATTATTTGCACTGCTGCGGATGGTTGCACAGATGAAAAGATGGTGATTCCCCTGTCTGTTGTGTCCTTGCTCCACAGAGAAGCTGGGGCTCTGTGGCTGGGTAGTGCTAGCCTGTACTGCTGAGGCCATTAGTGCAACCAACCTTCCTGCATACAGGCTTCGTGCAGCTGTCCAAGGGGCTCTGGGGGAATATGTTTGTCCTGTCAATGCATGCCTATTGGATATGCATTTCAGACAAAGGCAGAAAGAAGATATTTAACTCCAACTGGGCACAATAAATTGGAACAGGATAGATCACAGCACACCAAGGCAATCATTTGGTGCTGGGAGACGGTATCAAGACCTCTTTTACCTTTTATTTAGCCTATTACCAGATGAAGAATTAGATCAGACTAAACCCTTGGGTAACATCTGCTAGTGTCCACCATGGTGAGCACGGATCGCCTGCCAGCATGGTGTTCCACAGGCTCCGGGCCACGCTGTCTCCTGCCACCCACCCCTGCCTGGCAGAAGCACAGCCTCGTCCCTTGGCTGCTGGAGTTCAAGCTTTGCTTGTGTCTCCAAAGAGGAGATGGCCAACATGATGTGGTACCATGGAGGGGTCAGCGTGAGCTTCCTGGCCTTTGGCTGCCTGAACACTGAGCAGAAATGAGAAGCTGTTGGTTGGGGACTGAGCTCTTCTAGCTTCCTGCTGAGCCTGTCTGCAGCCCTTTAATTAGGGGAAACTAATTACATATAACAGAGGAAAAGAGTCTGTCAAGTAGTATGGGAGAAACTCCTTTTGATTCAGCAGAAAACATTTTAACCTGAGGTGTCCTGTAGGCAGTAGGTGCAGATAGGAAGCCAGCATGACTGAGAGCGGGATGCATTGTCTTTTCAGCAACATCTCCCCTCCACTGGGGATGTGTCCTATTTGGACAGTGGCCGAAAGGCAGGAGATGAAAGGCTGCTGAGGCTGAGGTTTTGTACCAGCTAGCAGCACTCCACCTTCCTGCTGCATCAAAGGGGTGGCAGCAGGCTGCTGGGACACATTTAGGTTGGTGTTGGACCAGAAGGAGGCTTAGGACATGCATGTCTTGACTTATTTCCTTATCAAAGGATTTCAGCTGAGCTTTCTAGAAGAAGCTGGCACAGGCTGAGCACAGCACAGCCCCTCTGACATCTAGGAGGAACTGAGCTCCTTAGTTTCTGAACCTCTTTGAAAATCCCAAACTTCCTCCCCCTCCTGCCCCTGCGGGGCTGGGACCGACTCAGGGTGCTTGCTTGTGACTTATTTCATAATGTAGTTAAATAAGTGGAATATCACAGAACTTAAACTTGCTAAACTCCAACGACTAGTGTAATGTGGAGTTTGAAGAGCTGGCGATTGCAAATAGTTAACAAGTGCTTACAGTGCCTCATGATAGTTGCTGGCACTAAGACAAGGGCAGTAAAAAGTGGATTAGATGAAGATAAATGTGAGACACAGGCAGAAACAAGTACTCCAGCAGATGTGTGTGGAAATTAATGGGGTGGTGATAATAACAAATTCTGATTCGCCACACAGTAATGTGTCTCTTGATAATTGGTTTCCAGTAGAATACCAACCGGGCATGCAGGAGACAGAAACATAAATGGGGTGACATCTCCGCATTGCCAATGCATTGGGTAGACACTAAATAGCTCAAAAATGGTAAGAGGAAAAGTTGAGTTTCTTTCATCCCCTGCAGCCTAACCCCCTCAAAATTTTATTTTCTGGATCTGTGACCCAGTCTCTTGACAAATAAATTTGCAGGGGTATCAGGGCAAGATATCTCCCAACATGAACACAGGGCTGGTGGTCAGGAGATCTTGGTCACGTTCCAACTACTGCCGCATACATCCTGTCTGACACGGGGTGGAGGGTCACTACCGACCCCACATGTCTGCTCATCTACTGAACTGGGATGTGAAAGTTCCCACACAACACAATACTTTGCCAGATGCGTTGTTGAACTTCATGTGTTTATGTTTGTGAAGAGAAAATAGGATGAAAGACATTACAGAAAGGCAAGATATGATTTGTTATGATTTAAAAGCCATTCTGGTTTAGCAGTGCTACTTTCAAATATTTGCACCCTGAAGGCATTTCCATAGGACTCAAGCTCAACTTTTGTTTTCCGGTCCCATATTTTAAAGAAGCAGAGTGGCTTCTAAACCCTTTCTTTGGAAATGGGTCTATGATGTTGCCCGCTGCAGCCTGAGTGACTGCAGGGACCGAGCTGTGGCCCCACAGACACGGAGGTATGAAAAGCAGTCTCTGAGCTCGCCTCTCCTCCCTGTACGTACAGACGTGCTTCCTCCCCTGCCTTCATCCTGCACATTCATCCTCGCAGATGCGTGCAATGAAGGTGGCGCAAACCTGGCCAGGGCTTCAGCTGTGTCCGTTCCCTGGTGCCTGGGAGGAACTAGAAGGCAGGGAATGAGTGGCAGGGGAAGTTGAGAGGAGGGGGCTGTTTTGTGTTTCCCATGCTAGATGCATAAGCAGCATGCCTGGAGTGCAGTGTCAGGGTGTAGGTCTGTAATGCAATTTTGTTGGCAAGAAAATCATTCAGAAGGGTCCCATTTCTCCATCCTCTGCATCACAGTTTGCTGCTGCCTGGATTCTGTGGATAAAACTGGGCAGCAGCTCTGTCCACTGAGTCCTTGGGAAGCTCTAGCTTAAAAATAGTGAATGGAGGTTTTTCTTCGCTTGCTTTGCTTTGAGGAAGGTTTGGGTTTTTTTAGTTGGGGTCATTTTGGTGAATCTGTTCACAGAGCAGTGCTGTAAACATGTTTCCCAGCACAGTGGATGTTGGGGAGGTGACATTCAGCTTACAGAGGACCTGGCTGGCCAAGCTGGGGCTGCCCTGATGCCCATTTTGCCAATGTGCCTGGAGTTCAGGCTGTAGCAGGGGAGGGAGGGGAGGTGGATGGGAAGCCCTGAGGCTGGCATCACACTGAGGGGAACTGTGAGAAGAACCCACCTCATCACTGGTACTTGGTATTTCTGCTCAGGTGCCTGGAGTGAGATTGATGGGAATAAATCCTGTGGGACCTCTCTGAGCACGTGCTAAAATCCAGTCATTTGCAAAGAGCAGGGGATACTAAAGAAAATGGAAAATATAGATTTCTGTCTTACATTCTAAAGTAAATGTGATGTTTTTCACTCCCAGAGAAGGCAGCAAGTACCTCCCTGCTCAAAGGACGGTATTCCTTGCCGAGTGCTCTGGCCGCATGTGACAGTGCTGCTCAAATACTCTGTCCCCTGGCACCTCTTTCCCAGCCTCTCCACCTTCAGCCACATCAGCCTGGGCTCCCTGGCCTCAGGCTCAGCAGCTGAGCGTGATGGTGAAAGCCCCCGAAAACAGTGAGCAGGGACCTGCCAGCTCCAGACTACTGACAATGTAGCCCAACTAAACGTGACTAATTTCCCAGTCATTGCTTCTTGTGCGCATGACCTGTTAAAAGGATTAAATTAAAAGAATTCCCAGAGCTAATCTAGTGATGATATGATGAGAGACAGGAGCTCAAGCATATCCCAGAGGTGGCTGATCATGTTTCCTAGGATGTATTATTTATGTGGCCATCTGCTTTAGACAAGTGTTGAAGTCTGAAGGGGAGGAGGATTTTGATGGAATTTACTCATTTAACTGGGACAGGGGGTACTGTGGGTTTCTCCCCCTGAAAAAAACAAAACAAAACAAAACAAAAAAAACCAAACACTGCTGTAGTTATTTATGGAATAAAGCTGGCAGCAGGGTACCTGTGTACTGATGCCTTCAACAAAATGCTGCTCAGGTCTGAGAGCTTGCGCATGTCCTCACAGAAGGGGCTGTTCATATGGTGGTCCGTTAGTAAAAGGGAGAGAGGTACAAATGTGTTCCAATCTGAGTTACTGGTACTGTGAAATACAGGGGTATAAACAGAGCTGTGGCTGGAATGTGAGAAGGCAGGGGGAGCTGCCAAAAGAGACAGAGTACACAGGAGAACAGGAAGAATTTCCCCAAAATATCTGAT